GGAGGCGGAATTGCCCCGCCCTTGTTAGTCCGGGCTAAGCAAGCTGCTCCGGTTTGCTCTCAGGAGCTTTTGTTCCCTGCAAGCTCTCGGTACAGCTTTGGAGGACCAGGGTGAAAATGGTGGCCTCCCACTCTCTGCCTGGAGGAGCTGAGAACTCAGGGCCCTGCTCCTCAGTGGGCCCCCAGAGAAAAGCAGTCAGTCACTCCCATCTCCCTGGTCTCCGGCCGCACTCCGTGCTCACCCGGCCTCTGACCGAGCGTTTCTATCTCTGGCACCCGACCCCGTGTGGAGTCTCCAAACCCAGCAGATCCCTGCAGTGCACTCCCGCGCCGCTCCTCCTGGGGGTGGAAGGGGAGTCTCCTCGGCTCTGCCGCTTGTTGTGTCCCTGCTGGAGGAGCAGTGGCCCGACTGGGCCGCGGATCACAGTTTATGGCCACCCCGAGCTGAGAGCCTGCGCCTCGGCTCCGTCTCTGCAGCCGGCTTCCCCGCTCTGATCCCTGGGAGCTCTGCCGCAGTCAGGCACCCCCGGTCTTTCTGTGACCCCGAGGGTCCTGAGACCACACTGTCCCGCGAGGGTTCCACTCCCCGCTTAGCCACTGGAGCGACGTCCCTCAGCGGAGCCGACTTCTAAAAGGTCCGATTTTGTGCTCCGCGGCTCTAGCACTTGCCAGAAGCGGCCGATGGAGGCCCCCTCCCCCGCCGTCTATCCTCCCGAATATCGCCTGGGATTCACTTCTCCGCACGTCCTACCTTCCAGTAAGTGGTCGCTTTTCTGTTCAGAGAGTTGTTGCTATTCTTCTCTTCGATCTCCTGTTGAGTTCGTAGGTGTTCAGAATGGTTTGATCCCTATTCAGCTAAATTCCTGAGAGCAGACGAAATCCAGGTCTCCTACTCCTCCGCCATCTTGCTCCGCCCCCTCACCATGTGGAAAGTTCTTGATTTACAGTTCAATACTCCAGACACAACCTGTACCCCTCCCTGAGTCCCTCACCCCCATGTCCAACTTTCTCTAGTGCTTTTGAGGGTTTCTGGTTATGTCAGGATGAAAGTGTTACTTGGATGTCTCTTATTAGTTTCTTAAAACTTGAGTCTTTATTGAGTTTCCTCACCAGGTTAAATGCAGCTTCGAATTTGCTTGTCACAGAAGATGGCAGCCAAATGCACACACACATGCACACCACACCACACCACACACACACACACACACACACCCCGATTCAGGGAGGAAATGTTAATGAGGCATCTAAAACAGCCAACTTATTTTTTCTATCAGCAGCATGTTTCTGGTTTAAATTTGAATTGTTCATTTAATTTTATACCCCTCTCTCATCCCCACTGCACACCAACTTTTCCAGTTAGCAGGGACCCATGCCCCATATGGGAATAAAAGTGTAGACTTCTGAATCTGGTTTACTTCATCTGTTGAAAAATAAAATGAGTTTGGCTGAGCTAAACAAACTTCTCCCTGAATCGAGTAACTCTACTATTTGTGTTTGCTGAACTATTTGACAGATGGGAATTTGATCTGGAGTGGAGGGGGGAGATTTCTTTTAATGGCTGTGTGACTACTTCAGTTCTTGACTTTGCTTTGCCACTACCTGTGTGACTTTGGGCAAAGCACTTCTCTCTGGCCTTCCACTTCTTTGTTTATAAAATATGAGGGTTACTTAATCATAACCTGGGGTTCAGAAAGTTGTCAACACGAAAATCTGATGCAATGTTTTTCATGGGGTTGGCAGTGGTCATCCCCCTGGCCCCTGGGGGGGTGGGGAGAAGGGACTGTGATTTCTAGTGGATTCACCAAAGACTCAGAGAAGAGAGATAGTTTCTTGGAATCACAGAATTTTACAATTTTTATGAATGCCCTGGCAAATGGTATAGAATTAGGGACTACCCTAGGGCAAAAATATTAGGTCGGCAAAGTTTGTCTCTAGAGATTTCTCTCTTCGATTCTACACATTGGTTGAGGTGGGGTACTCCCCTTCACCAAATATTTTCATGAGGCCCAGGGTATATTTCTGGAGTGGAGAAAACACATGTGATAAACTATTTTTTTTCCAGAGGTATATGACATCAATATATTAGCTCCCAGGGCATTTGGCTCAAAAAAGAAAACATATCCAAAAGGAAGAGAACACTTTGGCAAACAGAGTAGTTGCTAATGGTGGGATTTAATAGGGGGTATTTAGTTCAGTTGAAGCAGATTTAATACTTTATAGGCACTGAGCCTTGAAAAGGAGTATGATGATTTCTTCTACATGAAATTAAAATAAAACTTTACTTTGACAATGACATAATACTTGCATGTTTGCTAAATTAATGATAACCTCACTTTCTAGATTTTCGGAATCATTCCAATTCTGAGTAAGTTCATCAAAGCTAAACTTTTCCTCTCCTTTGTTTTTGGGCGGTGGGGGTCCTTGCCTGGCTGGTGCTCTCAACTCTTTCCCAGGTTCAACACCCTTGGCTTTACATCCCTGAGGTCATTTTGGTAGGTGACCACCTACGCCACCCATTCGTGAAGTTGGCTCGGACCCACGCAGTGATGAACCTTGCTTAACTGTTGGCAGAAAAAGGACCGAAGCAGGAAAAGAATGAAAGAATTTCCTTCTGGCAGACAAACAACTCCTACTTGTTGCTACTAACGGGAAATCTATTTTTACTCTTCCGTGCCCTAGCAAAGGAGTTGATCTTCATGACACAAAGAAACCCTCAGCCAAAAATTGAAAAAGAGCATTTCTTTTTGGAAATTACAAACTCAAAATAGGAAACCACACTATAGTATTGAAGTAATGGAATGCCCACTGTGTGCATTCCATACAAACGTTGAGCCCCCAATGAAAACATTACCAACGATCAAAGATTTTCAACAAAGATGACCACATAGTTGAAATCTGCCATTTAATTTTTCCTTTTGTGGTCACGGAGAGATAAGTTTTTATTCTAGGAAAGGGTTGGAAAGTGTTGGAATTAGACAGTTCTAGGCCAACCAGGAAATCCTGTTTACTCGCTAAGAGACCATGGGAAAATTGCTTAGCTTCTCAGAGCTATAGTTTTACCATGTATAAAGTGGGGATGATGTTATTTACTCTGCAAAGGTTTGGTATGCATTACAGGTCCTCCCGCCATACCCAGCACATCCAGAATCATCCTTTGCCCATAGTTGGCACCCTATGCATGCAGACCCTGGATGTTAATTTTGATTCTAAATATTTTCACGACTTTTGGACGATAGCTCTTCCTTTGTGCCAAAGCGGTTTGGCCTATCTTTTAATATCTGTAACTTTTAAAGGGCAGCTTTCTGAGAGCAAGACTGGCACCCATGAGGAACCTGGGCATTAAGAACAACAAATACGTTAGCTGGTTCTCCCTTTCATTCCAGCTACTGCATTATTCTCCTCAAGATAGGAGCCGGGACACTCGCCTCCCATCCAGGCACCGTAACCTTTCCGTTGGATTCAGTTAGGGTCCCCGGGTCTCATTCTCTCACACTCCCTGCTCATCCAAACACTGCTGTTCTGGTCATACTGCAGCACTCTTGTGGGGATGCTTGTCTATAACAAATGCCCCCCAGACCATTTGGCCCCTGGGGTTGGCCAGGCTTGAGTCTAACTCTTTTCATATTTAAGATCAAATTTCATGAAGAAAAAATATTGAAGAGGAAGCTGTCATTTCTGCTTCATTTATAGGGTAGGTTCTCCCTGTCACAGGGCTCTTAGAGAGGGGGGCACCAGGGGACCCCAAGAACATAGGTTCAGGCACCCCACGCTGTGGAGGGAGGCTTCTGCCCAAGACAAAGAAGCCTGGCAGCCCTGAGCAGGCCCTGCCACTGGCCAACGTCCTCTCATCCTGTTTCATGCCTTCTCCTGCTTTTCATTTCTCTTTCCCTCCATTTTAGGGCCGGGCCAACCTCACATGGCATTATTTTTAGTTCTCACATGGGAACACTGACTTGGGCTCTCCTGCTTTCTTTATCCCCCCTTACCAAGGATGTGCGATTGTTTTTCTGCCGTGCATTCAGGGGCTCGGGAACATCGTGTGCTTACGTTTAACCCCTTGCATTTCCCCGAGGTGCTTCCTTCAGTTGCTCATGAACTTTTAATTTTTTCCAGGCCTGTGTGTTTTGTCCAGACTGCAGCTTTTCTGGAGCTTGGCTGGCCTCTTTGTTTTGGGGAAGCTTATTGCTTCACAGTGAGACCATCTGACAGTTGTTATCTGTGACCTGAGAGCCAGAGGCAGCCAGGAGCCCATTCTTCTTGAGGACCTCCCAGCTCCCCAGCCCCCACTGCCATCTGGGACCACCCCAGGGAAGAGACCAGTGTGACACCAAATGTTCACAGGAGGATGAAAGTTTTCTCTACCCACCAAGGCCGGCCTTGGTCTGTCCTTGAGCCCCTGACAAGGGGGAGAGCCATCAGATTCATCTGTGTGGGTGTCTACTAAGATCTTCTCTCCTTCCCTCTGGCTCTCCCTCGCTCTCCCTCTCTCCGTTCCTGGCTTCCTCCCTTCCCTTCCTCTCTACCTTTCACAAAAATCTGTGGGCCCACTACTGGCTAACAGCTCTTCAGGAGGCAAACACAATGGCAGATAGAAACCTGAATACAAGCCAGGGAACCATGTCTTTTCAGGAGGTTCCCAATCCCATTGAGAATAAAATCTGTGTTCTTGACCAGGACAAGCATAGCTCTGAGGGACTGGCCCCTGCCTGTCTCTTCCCGCCTGACCTCTAGCACGCTCTCCTTCACTCACTTGGCTGTCAGCTCATTCCCCACCCAGACCCTTCACACCCCTGCCCCCTCCTCTGAAATGCCCTGGCTTCAGAACTTCTCATAGAGGCTTCCCTCCCATCCACCAGGAGACCGCTCAGTCCAAGCTCCCTTCCCAGAGTGGCCTTCGCTCATCTCCCCTGCCTCTCTTGCTCTCTACAAAATATTTTGAGTTTCTTCACAGTGCAATCTTCATCTGAAATTATCTCTGTATTTCTTAGTTTGCTTGTTTACCTTCTGCCTTTATCCCGCAAACCCTGTCTTTTGCTCCACTCAGGCCCCCAGTGCCTGACACAGACTTTGTCTTCAATAAATATCTGTTGAAGAAATGGATAAATAAATACTTTGGTAGGGGACATAAGAATTAACCAGAATAACATCACAAATAACGATAATAATAAAAATAGTGATTGACTTCTCTTGGTATTTTACCAAGAGCTGTTTTATGTATGCTATCTGTAATCTTCAAAACAATTCTGAGAGAATATTATTTTTATATTTTGCACCTCCCCCCAAAAAAAGGAGGCTTCCAAGAGTCGGTATTTTCCCAAGCCCACCCACCTAGTGAGGGATGGACCTGGGATCCATCCTCAGACAGGTCTGCCTCTACAGCCAGCAGTTCTTTCCTCTTGACCATGATGTCTAATACACGCAAACAACTATAATACAAGCCAGAAAGAGATAAGCTCCATGAGAGGCACAGATAAAACATCATGGGAATTCAAAGGAGGAAGAAGTGGCCTCTGGAGGAGAGTAACAGGAAAGCCTTGTGACAAGGTGATTCTGTTTTTCTGGACCTGTGCCCCTGACGACTCGGGGTGGGGGTGGGGGTTGGATTTGGACAGTTGGAGGTGGGATGTGAAATCCCAGGGCGTGCTGAAGTCACACACCAGAGGGCCACGTGTGTGTGCGTGCGCATGCGCGCACCGTAGGTGCGGGCAGAAAAGCAAGAAGGACGAGACCGCTTTAAATTCAATTCAGAGAAAGCTAGGAGTTGTAATAAGGGAGTATTTTCTTCTTGTCTCCAGTTCTAACTCTGATTATTATTTAAAGACAAAAGCACACATCTGTATCTATTAGGGTAAGAGCTTCATATAAACAGCTATTATCTAGCATTTCTGTTTAAGCAAACCTCACTATTTATCTACCAAAAAAATGTATTTTCCTACCGACTCACATCTGAATCTCAGATGTAGTCTAAATGTTCCCAGGCCTATCTGGCCTGAGGGTCACATGAGACCACATTGCCACTGAAACCCAAGTTTTCATGATTCAGTGTCCCCATCTCCTTAGTGGGATTTATGTTCCCTGCGAAATCTCTGACCCGATTTTCCTTGAGTTTTCAGGGACGCATCAGCTGTGTTTATAGCCAAGTCCTTCCTGCTTGCTCTGCTTTGCCGTCTCTCTGCTGCTGGGCACTTCAGCCTCCGCAGGCTCATGAACCGAGTGCTTTGGGCCAAGCCCCTGCCTATGGCTCCAAACCCAGATTCCCAGTCTCCAAACCGGCTGCTTTCCTCTCAGTCTTCCTGGCACTGGGGCTGTGCGCTCTGCTCCTCACAGGACAGGGACAAAAGCCTTCTCTCTTCTGAGCCTAAGACCTATTGGCGGAGGGCTGGCAACCAGAGTAGAAAGCACAGCAAAAGGCCTGGCAGTCACAATAGATTCCATTTAGATCGATACTAATGTGTTGTTAAGGAACTGAGTGTAAATGTTATAAACCCTGATGATGTCAACGTGATCATAATAGTGTGACGTAGCGGAGGTTGCCTAGGTGCGCTGATTTCCTGATCTCTCAGCTGGAGAGAAAACATAACTTATAGCTGATACACCAATGGTAGAAGTAAAAGTATATTCAAAGTGTAAAAATAAATATTTGAGACTAAAATTGATAATGGAGAAAAGAGCCATGGGGAGGAAATAGAACTGTAATAATTCTGATCTACTGGTTGCCTTCCTAACTATCATCTATCACAGTTTAGTATGATAAAGAGTTCAATTCAGAGCAAGGTTCTAACAGTTTCGAATACATAAGCCTAAGAATGTAGTATCAACATGCATAAAGAAAAAAAATTCAGTACAACAAGATACAGGCAAAAATACCTTCTAGGAAGAGACTTGCATGCATTCTCCTAGTCCATGGCAGATCAAGGGAATAAAAAGTAATAAAAGCTGTAAAAGACCTACACAACAAAATTCACAATGAAAATCCAATTGCTATATCTCACACTCTGTTCCATGAACACATAGCATATACTTTTTCCCTAAGTGTCCATCGAACAGTCACAAAAAAAGACCATATATTAGGACACAGAGAAACTAAGCAAAGTCCAATCTGTACAAAAATCATCTGATCGTCATGGAAAAAAATTAGAAGAAAACAAACAATAAGAAAAGCTCTACTCACCTGGAAATTTTTTTTTTTTTTTTAATGTTTCTTAGGTAACTCTTGGGTCACACAGGAATCCAAACCCAAAATTGCAGGGCATTCTGAAAATAATGAGCATGAAAATATTACTTATCAGAACTTGTGTTCTAAAACTATAAATTCTACTCTATTCTCTTTATATGAAATAAAATATGAAAATAAACTAATAAAGAGGAGAGAACAAACCAAAGGAGAGTAGGAGAAAGTATGAAAGAGCAAAACGTAAATTAATTAAGAAAATAAAGAGTAGACTCAGGAAACTCCCCCAAATCTGTTTTTTTTTAAAGAAGCAATACAAAGCAAAACTATCAGCTAATCTAAATAAGTGAAAAAAGAAGACACAAAATGAAAACTATATAAACTAATAATAAGGAAATAACCAAGATGGGCAACTGGCTGGCTCCGTCTGAGGAGCATGGGACCCTTGTTCTCTCAGGGTTGTGAGTTCGAGCCCCATGTTGGGTGTAGAGATTATGTAAATAAATAAATAAACTTAAAAGAAAAAGAATCACAGAAAAAAGGGGGATTAAAAGACTTTCAGAGTGGGATCCCTGGGGGGCTCAGTCAGTGAGGCGGCTGCCCTCGGTTCAGGTCGTGATCCCAGGGTCCTGGGATCGAGTCCCACATCAGGCTTCTTGCTCAGCAGGGAGCCTGCTTCTCCCTCTCTCTCCCTCTGCTTGTGCTCTCTCTGTCAAATAAATAAAATCTTTAAAAAAAAAAAAAGACTTTGAGGGAATGCAGTGCATCCCTTCATAAAAATAAATGTATGAACTTTGTTGTAAGGGATAATTTTTCTAGGATAACAAGTTATAAAAACTGATCCCAGAATAGATAGGAGTTGGAAATACTAGAAAATAACAAAAAGAAAGCCTAAAACTCATATATTTGGGAGCCAAGTAACATAATTATATAACTCTCAGGTTAAAGTGGAAATTATAAAGAAAATTGGAAAGTATTTAGTAATGACCAATATGAGAATACTAGAGTTCAAAATTTGTGGGACAACACAAATACTCATACTCAAATGTTCACAGAAGACTTACCTATATTAACCCCAAGTTGGAAACAAGTCGAATGCTCATTAACAGGTGAATGGCTAAACAAATTGTGGTATATCTGTAGAGTGGAATAATACTCAGGAATAACAAGGAATGAAGTGTTGTTTGACTCAACAGCAGAGATGGACCTCAAAGACGTTACACTGAGTAAAAGACACCAGGCATAAAATAGTACCTTGTGTATGTTTCCATTTATATAAAGTTCCAGAAAAGGCAAAACTGATCTATAGATCAGTGGTTGCTTTGGGGAAGGATCAGAAAAGATTGACTGACAAGGGGCATGAGGGAGCATTTTGGAAAGTAGCTGAGATGTGACTGTGGCTGGTTACTCAGTGGGCTTCGTAAGTTAAAACAGCAACCTGTCCACTTAACATGACTACATTTTATTTAATTTAAATTACGTTTCAATAAAATTGGTTTTTAGCAGCACTTTGAAATAAATTTACTTGCAAACAAGGAAGATTAAAAAATAAAGATGCTAATCAAAGAAATGGAGAGATATTCATGCTCTTGGCTGCAACAAATTTACCCATAATTTTGGTGCAACCCTAATCAAAATTACATTTGGATTTTCAAAAAGAAACTTGATAAATTTATCCTAAAATGTACATGGAGGAGTGAAATTCTACAAATTGTTAAGTTAATCAAAAACGGAGGCAAGGAGTGGGATTTGTCCTACCAGGTGTTATGAGAGAAATCACAGACTTAGTTTTACAAAAGAAGGGTTAATACTAAATCATTCCATCAGACCAACGATTAGGATACAGAGCTTAAGGCCAGAGCCCTGAATGTATGGTCTTTAATAAATTGTGTTTAAAGCTAAAACTACAGTACAAGTCAGGGTTCTCTAGAGAGACAGAACCAGTAGGATATGTGTGTGTATAGATTTATTTTAAGGAATTGGCTCTCAGAATGTTCATGGTTTATCTAAACTCCTCCATGGTACTGCTGCCTTGGCATCCATTTTATTTGGCCAAGAAGTCATTGGGGGCCTTAACCTGACTCTTGCCCCTCATGCAAACCCATGCCCTAGGTAATAGCCCACAGGGTCGCAAGTAAGTGTAGGTTACTGTTGTGACTTCCACAAAGGTCCTTGTGGTAAATAGTCTCCTGTAGTCTCAGGACCTTCCCCTTGGATAGAATCCCCATGGAGCTTAGCAAAACCCTGCTTTTTAAATTTGAATTTACCAATCTTGACTTAATCTGAGAACCCCAAAGCATTCTACCCACAGATCCTAATAAAGGCATATGCCCCAGATCCTGTCACTTTCTCTACCTGCTCCCTCCCTTGCCTTTCCCATGTAGAACTTCCAAGAGTGCTGTGTACTTCCTCCAGCACCTATGAGTAATAAAATTCTCTATTTCAGTTTCTCCTGTGGTCTTTTACTGAACCATGACTCACCATCCAGCTCCCTGAACCTTCACTTAACCAGTGTTAATTTAACAAAGTAGTAACACATGATTATGAAGGCTGGCAGATCCAAAGTCTACAGGTGAGCCAGCAAACTGGATACCCACAGAAGTGATGGTGATGCTGCAGTTTAAGTCTAAAGATGATCTGCTCCAGAATTTCCTCTTGCTCAGAGGAGGTCCATCTTTTGTTCTTTTCATGCCTTCAACTGATTGGACAAGACCCACCCACATTATGGGGAGCAATCTGCTTTACTCAAGTCTACCTATTTAAATGGTAGTTTCAACCAAAAATACCCTCACAAAAACATCCAGAATAATGTATGACCACATATCTGGGCACCATGCCCAGGTAAGCTGACACATAAAGTTAACCATCACGACTACACAACCAATTAAGGTGGTATTAGAAAAACTTGGAGGAAAGTTCAGCTAGATTCTTCCTAAATATCTCAAATAAAGGTAAACTTTAAATGGATTTAATCCGATAATTAAATCTCAAAGGAAAAAAAACAAGTTAATAGAAGAAAATATGGAAGAATATATTTGTTACCTAGAGCAGGTGTGATATTGTGATTTATGATCACAAATAAATGTTTGGTCTTTGTCCCACTTCTGGCACAGAGCTCCTAAAACCATTGGGATTTCCCAAGTGATAAGAGCAAAAACTATGCCCGTTGTGATACTAATGAAGTAAATTTTGAAAAGCACCTAGGTAACCTAAAGATGGGAGCTGGTTGCTAGGAGAGCTGACCTACAGGCTTAGCACTTTTAGCCCCATACCCCAACCTCCAGGGAGGGGAGAGAGGCTGTAGACTGAGTTCAATTACCAATGGCCAATGATTTAATCAATCATGCCTGTGGAACAAAGCCTCCATAAAGCCCCCAAAGGGAGGGGTTCAGAGAGCTTCCGGGTTGATAAACACATGGAGATTTGGAGAGAGTGGAGTGTGCAGAGAGTGCTTGAAAGCTCTACCCCCTTTTCCCATACCTTGCTCTTTGCACCTTTTCCAGCTGGCTATTCCTATTTATACCCTTTTGTAATAAGTCAGTGATCTAGTGAGTGAAATATTTCTCTGAGTTCTGCGAGCTGCTCTAGCAAATTAATCGAACCCCAGGAAGGGGGTCATTGGAACCTCCAATCTATAGCCTGTCACTCAGAAGCACAAGGTGACAACATGAACTTGTGACTGGCACCTCAAGTGGGGAGCAGTCTTTGGACTGAGGGACTGAGCCCTAAAGCCCTTAAGCTGTGGGGTCTGATGTTACCTCCAGGTAAAATGACAGATGGGGTCACAACTGAGTTGTGCTGTAGGACATTCAGCTGGTTCCAGAGAATCACTTGGGTGTGTAGGAAAACCCCTGCTCCCCCCAATTAGAATTGGTGATCAGAAAGTTGGCAGGAAAAATTTTTCAAGTGAAACCTCAAAAGCAAGGCCATAAACTAAAACTCTGAGGAGATTGATTACATCAAAATTAAGGATTTCTAGTCCACAAAGGTCATCATGAATAAAGCAGAGAGATCAATGACAGAAGAAGAGAAGTCATATGCAATGTCTAAAGCCAAGGATTAATATCCAGATTAATCAAGAAACCCTTGAAAACCAAAAAGGAAAAATAGAGCAAGTCCATTAGAAAAATGGGCAAGGGATATGAAAGGGAGGATGCAGAAGACCAGTATTTGGGTAACTGATATTTGAAGAGAAATCAAAATCAAAATTAAAGTAACAATGATATTATTGGTGGGCACCTGCTGGGCTGACCACAATCAGAAA